CCGTCTGTGAAGATGGATCTGTGAGTGTTATACTTCGAACGTAACTGGTTGTATTCCTGTTGGAACACCAAGGGATTTGTTTCAGACTTTTTTGAGTTTGGTGAGGGTAAGACCGACCTGTGGTTTCACCATTTGCCATGGTGGCGAGGACAGAAGTCGGTATGGTGCAATGATGTTGAGATCAATTTTAGCTGCAGATATGTGTGGTTTGATCCTGATTCCAAGTGGTGGAACCAGGCTTGGCAGTTTAGGAAATAAGTTTTCATAGAGCGGGTTGAAAACACAATTGTATGCTGGATTGGACTCATTTGAACGTAATTTAGTGATATACTGCAGTGAGAGTTTAATGCGGCGTTGTTCAAGGGAAGGTTCATTGGCCTCCGCATATAGACTGTCTACCGGAGAGGTCCTAAAAGCTCCCAGGCAGAACCTCAGTCCTTGGTGGTGGATAGAGTCTAATTTTTCTAAATTGCTTTTGCAGGCTCCACCGTAGACAATGGAGCCATAATCTAGTTTACTGCGGACTAATGATCTGTACAAGTGAAGGAGGGTGGTCTGATCCCCCTCCCCATTCTGTATTTGAAACTACTTTTAGCAAGTCTAAAGCCTTCAAGCATTTTGTTTTCAAATATTTTATGTGTGGTAAGAATGTCAGGTGGCGGTCGAATATGAGTCCAAGGAATTTGGCCTCTTCTACTACTTTGATGGGAGTACCATCTAAAGTTAGGTCTGGATCCTTGTGTGGTTTGTATTTACGACAAAAGTGAATACAATTCGTTTTGGATTTTGAAAACTTAAAACCATTTTCATTGGCCCATTTTTGGATTTTGTTAAGGCTGAGTTGTAGCTGCCTTTCTATTGCGTGCATGTTCTTACCACGACATGAAATATTGAAGTCATCGACGAAAAGGGACCCATCAACGCAACTGTTCAGAACGTTAGTGAGGCTGTTAATTTTGATGCTAAAAAGTGTGACAGACAGGATGCTGCCTTGGGGGAGGCCCTGATCTTGGTGGAAGTAGTCAGACAGTGTGGAACCCACCCGAACTTGGAATTGTCTGTTATTTAGAAACCGAGATATGAATTGAGGTATCTCTACCCCTCAATCCAAACTCGTGTAAATCTTTTAGGATACCATGTTTCCATGTTGTATCATATGCTTTTTCTAAGTCGAAAAAGATAGATACTGCTTGTTGTTTGTTGACAATGGAGTTTTTGATGAATGATTCCAGACGCACCAGATGGTCAATGGTACTTCGGTTTTTCCGGAAACCACATTGGAGGTCACTGAGGAGGTTATTGGTCTCCAAGTACCAGATTAATCGATTTTTGACCATGCGTTCCATGGTTTTGCAAACGCAGCTAGTTAGTGATATAGGACGGTAGTTTGAGGGATCAGTATGATCGCGACCGGGTTTTGGTATAGGGATGATGATGGCATGGTGCCACGAAGGGGGGAAGTGTCCGGATGTCCAGATGTCATCAAATATATTTAGGAGTGTTTCCAGGCCTATGTCAGGGAGGTGTTTCAGAAGCTGATAATGGATTTCATCAGCTCCTGCCGCAGTGTCGTGAGCCTGTCCTAGGGCAGTACGTAATTCATGGAGGGAAAACGTTTCGTTGTAATCCTCCCCATTATCAGAGTTAAAATTGACTGGTTTCTTTTCTTGTTGGGTTTGATATTTCTGGAACTGAGGGTTTTAATTTGATGAGGAGGAGTGGTTTGCCAAAGTTTCGCCAAGTTTGTTTGCAATTTCAGATTTATTTGTTAGAAGGGAGTCACCATCTTTCAGGTGGTGAACTCCTGATTTTGACCCTTTGCCCTTGATCTTTTGAATCATGTTCCACACCTTGGACATGGGTGTGCGGGAGTTGATTTTGGACACATATTTCCTCCATGACCGGCGTTTAGTTTGTTTGAAGGTACGTTTTGCCCTGGCATTTGTCATTTTAACAGCATTCAGGTTATGCACTGTAGGATGTTGTCGGAAATATTTTTCCGCCTTCTTCCTATTTGTCCTAGCTTGTTTGCAGTTTGTATCAAACCATGGTTTGCATATGTGCGGGTTTGCAGAGGACTTAGGAATAGTTTTGTCTCCGATGGCATTTAGGACGTCTGAAAATAGTTCCATGGGGTCAGGAACATTCCTGAAGTTGTCCGGCTTAAGTTTTTCTGAACATAGGGTTTGGAATAAAGGCCAGTTGGCCTTAGTAAAATTCCATCTTGTTGATGGTGATTCATCCGTGGGGTTGATAGGAGTAAGAATTGTTGGGAAGTGGTCGCTTCCACAAAGGTCGTCATGGACCGACCATTCAAACTCATTTAAAAGATTAGAATCTGTGAGGGATAGATCGAGAGCAGAGTATGATCCAGTGGCAGGATGGAGGTAGGTGTTTGATCCATCGTTGAAGATGCATACATCATTATTGGAGAGAAATTCTTCAAGGATCTTTCCCTTACTATTTGTATCATTACTACCCCATAGGGGGGTTATGGCCGTTGAAGTTGCCCATGATTATGCAGGGCTTTGGGAGTTGATCGTATAAGTTCTGAAGATCTGATAGGCGGACAGTTGAGGTGGGAGGGAGATAGAGGGAACATAGTGTAAACCCGATGTTCAGAGTTATGCGGACAGCAACAGTTTGTAGGTTGGTGTTAAGTGGAACAGGGCTATGGAGGATGGCCTGCCTCACCAGGATAGAAGTGCCTCCTGTAGCTTTTACACCGGGAGGAGAAAAGGAGTGGTAGGAACTGTACCGACGGATGTCAAATTTATCGGTCCTTTTTAGGTAGGTTTCTTGGAGACAAAACGCAGATGGTTTGAAGTCTTGAATCAATAACTGTAATTCATTATAATTATTCTTAAGTCCTCTGCAATTCCATTGGATCTTGTTTTGTGGATTCATGGTGCTTCCACTGGTGACATGTCACGTGAACGTGAGAATGCGTTTGATGAACTCCTATTGGTGTTTGGTGGAGATGGAGTTACCTCCATATCCAGAGGGCCAAAGGAGTTATGGACCTCGATGGGGACCTCTGAGGGAGAGGTGGCCTTTGGTTTTGTGTTTGGCGGTTGTTCGAGTTGCTTTAGTCTCTCTAGCCTCTTTTTTTCCCTTTTTCTGCGCGCAGTTTCTGTCTCTGGTTTTGGCATTTGCTCTGGTGTTTGTGATTCAGAGGTTTTGACTTTTGGCGTTGGAGATGGAGTTGCTGAGATGGGCTCAGTTGTGTTGAGTTCAGTTGGCTGAGAAGACATGATCCATGTCAGGTCGGTCTGACATGAGATGGTTGCAGTAGTGATAGTAGGACGGGAGACAGCTGAAGAGTAGGTGATGGTTGAAGGGGCTGCAGTTAAACTTGCAACCCTCTTCTTTGCTTCGTGAAAGGAGATATTTTCTTTGTGCTTGATCTTTAGTATCTCGGATTCGCGTTTCCATACTGGACAGAACTTGGAAGAGGCCATATGGTTACCACCGCAGTTTGTGCACTTCACTTCCTTAGTACAGTCGTTGCCCTCATGCTTGTCACCACAGCGGTAACAAACAGCAGAGGAACGACAGGACTTGGATCCATGTCCAAACTTTTGGCAGTTGTAGCACCGGAGTGGATTGGGAACATACACCTCCACACCAATGCTACAATAACCAGCTTTAATCGAGTCAGGGATGTTTGCTCGCGCGAATGTGAAGAGATAGGTGTTCGTTGGTTGAACAACACCATCCTTTTTGAGGGTGAATCGTTTTACGGCTGTGACGGATTGTTGAGAGAGTTCCTTGACAATTTGTTCTTCAGTCATGTCAGACAGGCATCGAGCTCTGTCCCGTACAATGCCTCTACACGAGTTAAGGGTTTTGTGTGCTGAGACAGCGACCTTGATATTGACAAATTCTTTTATTTTGAGGAGATTCAAGGATTGGTGTTTCCGGGTACATTCTATCAGGAGAGAGCCAGATCGGAGCTTTGTGACATTGGCAACCTCTCCGCAGATACCAGCGATACCTTTGGAGATTGCAAAAGGGTTCAATTGCAAAGGTTGCTTGTCACAAGCCTCAATGATCAGGAAACGTGGCCAGTAGTCAGGTCGGAGGGGCGTACTCTCGTCAGACGAGGTGTTGTCATCATCCATGTGTCTTCGTTTTGAACCGGGGTATTGAGAAGCCATGTCGTTAGTAATGTGGTTCAGCATCCCCTCTCCCCACCCACCGTGGAGTGTCAACAAGGACGATCTTATACTGCAGCGGGTCTCCAAGCTGCAAAGACCAGGGATAAGGGGGTCTTATACTCCAGCGAATTTGACATGAAATGCTGTAGCTGCCTACCAGATTAAAGGTCAGGATGGTTCTGTCCATGACAATCAATTGGAGACGTACAGAAATCGGAGGTCAGCATCACCAGATTGGTCCATGAGCCACCGCCTTCTGTGCATGGGTCTGCGAGGCTAGTTTGTTTTGGTGGGATATTTGTTAACATTTTGAACATGGTCAAAAGTGTTTACAGTTGCACTAACGACTATTTAATTGTGACACCACCACCACGTGTATATCATTCACATTTACAACTACGCATTCAAGTTCGGACTCCTGAAATATAAAATACAGTAATTTGGCAGTATAACTAATGTTTTGACTGACAATGTTCCAGAAATGATATCCACGCTTCAAAAATGACAAAATAGTAATGAATTGTTGTTACAATAATGTCAACGTTTTGACATCTTGCTGGCGAGAAGGTCAACTATGTGAAATAACCAAGGACATACCATCAAACAAGTTAGCGATTAGTTAAAATAAGCCACTTCTGGATTAAGCAAATCCAGTGCTTGGTGACAGTTCTGTCATTACAGCATTGGCACTTTCTCCAAGTTTTGGTCACCAGAGGCGAGGTCAGTCATTGGTATAACTGCATTAGTTCCTGATGCAGCAGGTACGACAGCAGTTCTTCTCAGTTCTCCTGTGTAGAGATCTCGCTGAGCATTATATTCCTCTTCTTGTTCCCGAAACAGTTAGTACAAATGTTTGGTCAGCTTCGCTGAAACCAGCTCGCTGGAATTCCAGGAGATCATGGACAAGACAAGTACTCCATCAATTCCCAGGAAATTGCTGATGAATCGAGTTATAGAGTGTTCATCAGGGCGAGATCCTTTGGCAGCGGTGACATGGGCAGCAATCCTACCATCTCTTAGGAATGGAAGGAAGAGAAATCCTGCCCACAGGACAAGGTTAAGGATGGTGATGATAGCCAGGAGGAAGATCCAGTACCACAAGAATGTGAACATCTTCTCATAGATTTCGGTGATTGGTAGAGTGCACTGAATTCTATACCTGTGAGAATTCTGCACCTGCTTTATATCAAAATCGCAATAGCCATCTATTACAAGCAACGGATTTATGATGGAGTCCATATCAAAGCCAACATAGGATCCAACCCCTATTTCCAGGTATTGTCTGAAGCGTATTGTTAAGAACACAAACTGGGCTATCAGATTGACACAGGAGAGAAGTTTCACAAACAGTTACAGACGAGCCAGAAGGATTCGATTTCTTCTCAACAGACTCCCACATACTCGGGCTGCATCACTGAACATGGCCTGACTATTATCAGCATTGTTCAGTTGTACACCTTTCATTGACTCCACAGTTTCTTCCATATTGAAAGTAAGCAAGTGCTTGCTGCTGTTCTAGATGATGTTGGGTAGTTTGAAAGCCAGGGCTTGGAAGAAGAGTATGAGTGGTATCCAGAGGTGGTAGGAGGGTACAAGTTCCGGTTTTTCGTCGTCATAATCATCAGCTATTGACTTCATATAATACAAGCCCTTCAGAAAACACGATTCCTGTGTGTACGAGTACTGAGACTGTTCGAATTGAGCAGAGCACCAAAACCTGATGGGTATAGTGATGTAACGCATGGCAAATGATCCCACAGAACACACGGCCAATAGAAGGACTGTCCAGAAACTGTTGATGGAGTCGACATAATCTTGATCGAAAACAAACCAAAACCAAAACAATATTGCTCAGTCGAGTAAGAACGTTCACGACATTTGCTTGATACATTTAAAATGTGTGCTTAGAGAAAGTATTCTATGTATCATGTTTACGTGAGTTACATTTTACATAGCATCGGCAATATTGTATCCATATCGTGATGAGTAAATGAGTGAGTTAACATTTAAAGTCTCATCAGTAATGTTTCATCCACATCATGACAATGAAACAAATTAGATAAAATCAATCTTTAACGGTACGAAAACCTGTCAACATAGGACAGTAAAATTTCTAGAATATCACAGCTTTAGATTAAAACTAGCAGTTTAGAAATAATTTATTTTAAACGACACAATATAGAAACGGGGTATACATCGCCAGCAACTGGAAGTATATCATCTTCTTGAGCCTATATAGAGCCCATTGGGATTCACAGCACATTTGCTACCTGTATGGGCCCTAGCTGGATTTACACCATCCCCTCAGATGTTAGCGATTATGGACAGAGCTAGCCATGAATAAAAATTACATATATTCTACGATTAAAAACCTGGAATCCTTAAATTTACTTTGAAGGTTGTGGTCTTACATACCCTCTCAGGATGACAATAATTTTACGGTACTTCAACCACCTTCGAGGATACAAAACCACTAACAATATAAGTTGCAAATTTAATTCACCAATTGATAATAACATATATCTATGTACAAAACAAATCAATCAAAATTTGTCAATCAATTCTATTTGCTTTTAAAAATTAACAATTAAATTAACACTAACGTTATTTAAAATATCCTTTGTGGATGAAGCTTTGAATAATTATCCCTTGTAATGGAAATATCAATACAGTCAAACAGGACATGCTTGACCATGATTCGTTCATCACAGGGAATACAAAATGGAGGATTTTGACCTGTAAAACAAAATTAATGTTCATGTGTATATCTTGAATGGCCAATATGACATCGTCGTACAATTACTACCTCAAATCTGGACTGAGAACCCAAGTACACTAGACGCCAAAAGAAACGTTACCCTTCTACCTTTATGAATTACTGAACAACTATTAAAGATATTTTAGAAGGTTATAGTTTACAAGAAAGCTTAACAACACAGCTTTATGCAAATCACGAAATTCTCAAATGCATTCATATTTTGGTGAAATTCATCTTTTTCAGAAGGGTTATATTGTCCTATATTAGTCCATGCCGAAAAAACAATAATAGTGATTTTGATGTCCAAAGAAAGGTTGAAATAAAATTCTGCTTTGGGACAATGATAAACCATTTGAAGTCACCATTTTCAACTATTAAAGCAAGAAACAACTGTTGTTGAGTGTGTAGAATTGTAAACTAATCATTGCTATGATTTCAGTCATTTAAAACATTTTCTGCTGATTTGCATGAGTGAAAACAAGTAAAACGTGTCTTTGATATGGTGAAAAAATGTTAAGGAACATCTAAAATTGTCTTTGTTAACATTTTTGCTTGCAAAATAACATTTTTCCATTTTCTGTTTACACATAGCAATATCAATCACCAAATCGCAATATTCAAGCAGTATTTACATCCATTTCACATGTTGAATGATTCTATAGGGTATAAGAGCCTACAAAATGATCTGATACACAAGTACACATGTACGAGAAATATGCCAAGATTAACAGATGAAGGGAGAGAAAGAGCCATTGGGATGGTGCAGATGAGGTCGACATACAATGCTGTTGCCAACGCCCTCGGATGCCACCGTAATACCGTTATATCACCGTAGACAGACCAAGAAGTGGACGTCCACGCATCACAACGCCAGCTTCATTAAGGAAGGAGGGTAACGTTTCTTTTGGTATTTAGTGTAGGTGTAATAGCTGGCTTAATTTCATGTAGTTCATTGACACCTACTTGGGTGTCTCACTTCTTCAGCATTAGATCCCGTATGCAACATCTAACGACAGGTTTATAATCACTGTATGGTATAAGAAGTGCAACATCAGCCATCGCGTTACCAACGATTCCAAAATGACTGGGTAATCACCAAAGACTATGCTGTATTGGCCAGTAGCAAGAACATTGAATAATTCAAGAATTTTCAATTAAAAGTGGATTTTAAGAAGTCATGTATATAAAGCCTGAAGACAGGAGAGAGAATCTGAAAATATTATGAACTGTTTATATTGAGAATGTTTCTGGGTATATTTAGGAGGTGATAATATGGCAGTATTGCCTCTGCTGTTAAAAATGGAGCTGCCATCAGGTAATCTAGAAGATATTGTTCTGGATCCAATGACAGTGGCATAAGCAACTCCGCCTCCATCCTTGGGCCCATCTGTAAATCAGGATTTATACATGTATTATATTTACTTCGTAATTGGTCATATTCTTGTCTGTATTGTAGTTGATTTGTTACCGGTTTTTATAAGTAGCATATGCAAGATCGACTTGTGGTTTTACTAATTGCCAAGGAGGAGGAAGGAGATATATTATTTAGCTCAATTTTAGCAGCAGAAATGAATGGTTTTATTCTTATTCCAAGGGGTGGGATAAGAGAATATCTTTTTATATAGATTATCTTAAAGAGGATATAAGTAGGGCTGGACACATTACAATAATTTTTTGTTGCATACTGCTAAGATAATTTGAGACGGCGATGTATTAAAGATGGCTCATCGGCCTCGACGTAAAGACTGTCAATGGGAGAAGTTTGGGAGGATCCAAGACAAAGTCCCAGACCTTGATGGTGGATAGAATCTAGGATAGATAGGTTGCATTTACAAGCTCCGTCATAGACGATGGAACTATAATCCAGTTTGGAGCGCGTAAGTATTCGGTACATTAGTAGAAGGGTTTACTGATTATCTCCAAACTTTGTATTCGAGACAACTCTCAACATATCAAGGACCTTCGGGCATTTATTTTGAAGAATATGATTCTTCTAAAATGTTTTCAAACGCAGTTCCTATACGTTAAACACAAGACAGAGGAGAAATTGCTACTACTACACACTGCGGTTTACGTGGTGGGGAGCTTGGTAGCGATACAAGGATAGATCACCATCATCTGAACGGGAAATACAGAATAGTGTATAATTTGAACTTTCAGTTAGGCAAAAAGGTCCATGTTGTGTTACATAACAGCGAGCGTTGTGGCACTCATTTGATACTCAAGGCAGCCGAATCATTCGATTGGCGAAATATCGATTGCATACAGTTTTTATCCTTTAGCGTGGATATAAATCTCGTTGCCTAGAAATTCAGCTAGGGTCCATGCAGGTAGCAAAAGTACTGCAAGTCTGCATGGTCCCTAGTATGGTGATCTACCTTTAGTTGTTGGCAATCTACAGTACAACCAGAAATTATTGAGAATTTAAAGATTGTAATTTTTTTCTTTTCACTAATTACTCACGTATTAAATGTGAATATTAGCAGAACATAACTCCAGATTCAAAGACAGGTGAACAGTCGTGGTCCATGCTGTCCCAATATCGGACCACCTCTTCTTTCATTTCAGCAATATTTGTTAGATTTTTCTTATTGACACTTTCCTTCATAAGTCCCCAAACATTTTCTATTGGATTTAGGTCAGGGCTATAGCTTGGCCAATCTAATAATGTCATATTTTGGGTCCGAAACCAGGCCTGTGAATGCTTTGAACGATGTTTTGAGTCGTTGTCCTGCTGGAAAATCAAGAAATGTCTATAGAACACGTGAGGAGATGGAAGTAATGTCCCTCGAGAATATCTGTGTACCGCTCACTGTTTATATTCCCTTCAATACACAGAGGGGCGTTGCCCCTAACACAGATATGCCACCCCACACGTTAAATTTTGACTGTACTTTGGGCGCTGATACAAAGGTTTTTCAGTTTGTTTGGTCCACAATTTCAGTGTATTAGGAAACAGCCACACAGAACTTTCGTCTGAGAAAATCACATTGCCCCAGTTAATATTTCTATGCTGTAAGAACCAATTCAACCTTCCTCCTTTGTTCAGGTTTCATGATCGGTGATGGAATTCCTCGACTTTTCTGCCAACCCATTGCATGCAGCTCAGTTCTAATTGTCTCCTTACAGACAACCACAGTTCCTCTATCAATCATATCCAGCCTTATGTTTTCTAAACTCCTTCGTTTGTTTTTAGAAACAAGAATACCAAGCCGCGTCCTGTAACCGACAGTCAATTTTCTGGGCCAACCTGCGCCTTCCTGGTGCTCAGTGCCACATCCATTTGCAATATTTTTCAAAACACGAAAAACAGTTGACAAAGGGATGCCTGTTCTATGTGAAATCACTTTAGCTGATCTGATGTCCTTGTTATTATCCTCCAAAATCAACTTCCTCTTCTCTAAATCATCCA